TGTGGAAGAAAAAGACCAAGCATGCACAATGAGTAATAAGCTATAAAAATAAAAGCAATTCCACAAGAATTTGTTAAGTACCTACAATTATCATACTCTATGCCAGAAGCTAGGCATACAGGAAATGTGATATGATCACTTTATTTGAAAAGCTTACCAATGGAAGAACAATGAGTTATTAGTTACTCGTAAGTATGAGAAGAATTTATATTGCGTTTGCCAAAAAGGCAGCATGGTTTTTTCGGTAAAATAAAAGACACATTTTTCATTTTCACCAATAATTTTATTGATTTGGATATTTTGAGTATGTTGGCTGTCTCTTGTGTGATATAACGTTGACCGTTCCCAATGAATGTCTCAATCTGACCACTATCCACTTCCACTGGTCTATCCAACCGAGGAGCATCATCCACCAAGAAATTTCCAGCATGAAGCTTCTCAAAAACACTTGTGACATGTTTCATCAGTCACAGCACTTTCTCCACACACTGCGCAAATCTTATTTTGTGTTTCAGTTGTGTTTTTACCTTTCTTGAAATAATAAAGCAAAATATGCCAAAAATGTCACGTATTTTCTTCCATCTTCAATATTAAAATAGCTACACAAAAATTCACCAGTTTTGATAAGTTTTTTTAAATGCACACTGATATGACAGCTGTCACAACCCAACCTAACAAAATTGTTTCAAATGAAGTTAAAGACAACTAAGCGCCACTAGAGTCATCCTATGGAAAAAACCAAACGAACTTTTTTGGCCAACCCAATAGAAAGTAGAATCCAAGTGTTACGTGATTTCTTGAACACTCAAGAACCAGAACATAATATTCTCCATAGAAAAATAAATAAATTACGGAGCAGCACTATCCAACAGAACTTTCTGCAAAATGGCAATAGTGTATATCTGCATACCAATGAGGTAGCACTTGGCCACGTGTTGCCACTGAACACTTAAAACATGACTAATGCAAGTAAGAAACAGAATTATTGATTTTACTTATTTCTAAATGACTTAAATAGCCATATATAGCTAGTGGCTACTTAATGGACCATGGAGGTACAGGGTATGACAACCAATCTCACTTGGCTCCACATTTTAACACAGGGTAGGGTCTGGATACATTATAAAGACAATGCAGAGATACATCATAAAGGTGACCAAACAAAGCTGGAAAATAATGCCTCTAGGAAAAGGCCGAAAACATAATTCTTAATATATTTATATCTTAACTTTGTTCCAGAATTTAATGTGACTGGCAAAGACTCAGAGCACAGCAAGAAAAATTACTTGTTAAATAAATGTTTAAAAGAAAAGCAGAAATGTACATTAAAGGTAAAAAAAAAACAAAACAAATTTAAAATAGGTTTAAGAAAGAATTACCTTCTGGAGAAACAGTTGAGCAATATCTTAATACTGGTATTTTATGACCATAAAATAAGCATTTTTTTATGGATTTAAGTGCTTCAGATACTATTCAAGAAGCGGGTTATAGAATACGGGTTTAATCCAGAGCATGAAGAATTTAGATTGAGATATTAACGATCTATTTCTATTTAATAAATTACCCTAATACTTAGCAATTTAGAACAGTAACATTTAGGGTCCCACACAGGTCTGAGGGTCCGGAGTGTCGGAGGGTTCTGTCTGGCTCGGGCTTCGCAGGAAGCTGCACACAGACAGGGCTGAAGGCTGCACTGACAGGACCAGATCCGGATCCGTCGGCAAAACCATTCCTCCCGTGGCTGCTGGAAGGCAGCCTCAGTTCCCCACCATGTGGATCTCTTTAGAGCGATGCTTGGGTATCCTGATGACACAGTGGCCGCCTTTGTCAGACTAAGGGATCCAAGAAAGGGCAAAGAGAAAGCTGCAATGCCTTTTATGAATGACTTGGTCTCAGAAGTCATACACTATCAATTCTGCCATATTCTAATTAAAAAGCAAATCACAAGCCCTGACCAGTGTGGCTCAGTTGGACGGGCACCGATGTCCCGTAAAGCAAAAGGTCACCGGTTCAATTCCTGGTCAGGGCATGTGTCTGGGTTGTGGGCTGGGTCCCTGGTCCGGGCATGTATGAGAGGCAACCGGTCGATGTTTCTCACATCCATGTCACTCTCCCTTTCTTCCTCCCTTCCCCTCTGTCTAAAAAATAAATATTTTAAATATATAAATAAATAAAAGCAAATCACTATATTCAGTCCACACTCCTCCTCTTGAAGGACAGAGTATCAAAGAGTTTATGGACGTATCTAAAACCACTACAATGAGATAAGAGAACTGCCTCTCCCTTGGGGGTCCGCTAGAAGTTATAAGACCCTGGGATTCCTTTCCTTGGAAACCCCAAAATTAGAATTATCATCCTTTTAAAATACCTTCCGTTGCTTTCTACGAGGCAGGATATTAAACACAGCTGGGTTCTCGGTTGCTTACAACCCAGTTACTTTTAATAGCAGGTGCTAAATAAATGGCATCTGCCAGGCAGAAAACACTGTTCTAAAACACTGTTCACATGTATCACTACAGAGCCTCACAATACTCGCACAAAATGGGCAGTATCACCCCCACTTTCAAGATGAGAAACAAGAAGTCCAGAGAGGTCAGCCAGGATTTTCGTCCAGGTCTACCTGGTCCCCGAGTCACTGTCCTTTTCCATTGTAGGACCTCCTACTACTCCAGCTCCCACAGACAGAAGCTTGTTGAGCCGCATCACAACTGGGAAGACCCACAAAAGACCCACAAAATACATTGTTTCAGCTAACATGCCTATCTTTTGTTCCACCAGTTACTTTCTTACTTCCATCAGTCCTGTTTTGCTCCCCTGGTATTTTCTATTTGCTACTCTGAGGCCTCATTTTGCTTCACTTCATGTTGCATCCAGCTCCTGGCACCTCAGCCCACCCTCCGCTGGGTTCATCTGCACTGGGGGGATCCTCTCAGATCACCTGGACTCTGGTCCAAACCCCAGGAGATGTCTGAGGGGCACCTAGTGATTGTCCAAAGATACACAAAGAAGCGGCGGCACAGCCAGGACCAGAAGCCCGTCCGTACGCGCTGTCCTCAGAGGCTCTCTGCCTCACCACACAACTGCATCCCCATCCCAAGACCTGCACATCCATTCACCTCTCCCGGCCTCCGAACTCTGCCGGGAGCAGGGACAATGCTCCAGAGAAACTCAAGCCAAATGTGGGAAGCATCTTTATCCCCTCATTCTCCCCGCATAACCCATACAACTTGTAAATATTTTTCAGTAGTTATCCCGTCCATCCCCATAGACAATGTCCTAATTCAGGCACTTGTCTCTTTCACTTGGGCTTCTGCATCAGCTTCTTAAAACGTCCCCTGGCTCTAGCCTCACCCCCTCTAATCTGTCCCCACAATGGCGGCCTACAGAGCTTTGTGACACGCAGGGCTTATCATGCCCCTCCCTTGACAGGCCCTTCCCCGGATCCCCATTAATTCCTCCCACAACAGAATAGAGAAAGGCCTTTGTCACCTGGCCCCGGTCCTGGATTTTATCCTACAGGTCCCTGAAAGGGGTCTGATGAGGGAAAGTCTCCTCTGCACCAGACACCATGTCATTTCATTTAATCCTCCCAGGGAGCCTGCAAAATCAGCATCCGATCCCTCTGCATATACTGTTCTTCCTAATCAGCCCTCTCATCTGTACGCCGTGCAGCCAACGCAATCTAAAGCCTTTCCTGGCCCATCAATCTACCCAACAAACGCATCCAGAAGGCCCCCTGCGTCACCACCTCTTCTTGTCCAGATGCCCCGTTACAGTCTGTTGACACAATTTCCCTCCCATGCTCAGGGGTGCGGGGGAAGGATCATGTCCTATCCATCTTTGTACCCTCAGCCCCTAACAAAGAACCTGCTTCATTGCAAGCGCTGAATAAACGGTTGGTGACTGACTACAGAGTCCGTCATGGTAGGGATATGAGTTAAACATTAACTCGATCACCGTTATCGCTCACAAGTATCAGCAGTCAACACATCTCCCGGGAAGCCCAAGCAGTAGTGCCCTGGGCCTCTAGGCCTCTCTCAACAGACTACGGGGTCTGGCTCAAGGACCAGGACTTGCAGGGGTCGCCCGGTCCAACCCGAGCCTACTGTATCCCCTTCTTCAGAGCTCTACTCCCTGCAGGCACCCGCACGACTGTGTGGCTGTCCGCTGGCGGCCGGAACAGGGCCTCCCAGGCCAGGGCCTTTCACAAAGGGCAACACCAGCCACATTTACTGAGTTCTCCGTGACTGTGTGACAGCACAGTCTCATTTAATCCTTGTAACAATCCCACCAGGGCGGTACTGCTCCACGTTATTTCCATTAAACAGACGACAAAACTGAGGCCCAGAGATGGGAACAAAAGGAGACAAGCACCGACTGAGGGCATCACATCCTGGATGTTTTCACACGCTTTATTTCATTTGCTCCTCGGTACAATGCAGCCAAGGGAGTCCTGCATCACACTCCCATTTTTAGACACGAAATCTAAGGCTCCCGGCCATTGGCCACATCGCACAGCCTGGGAGGCCAGGAAGCACGCCCGGGCCTGCCGGGCTCCTGGGCACCTTCCGACCCGGCTGTCACCCTTGGGGGGCTCAGTGGGGGCCGGGGGCTCCCCACCGGGGGCGGCACAGCCAGGCTCGGCGTCGGGCGCGGCGCCGCGCCGTCCGGCCCCGTCGCCCTGCCCCAGCGGGGCTGGGGGCCCGCGGGGCCGCTTGGTTCGCTCCCGCTCAGCGCCCGGAGCGGCTGGCGCGTCGCGGGGCGCCCGCGGTTCCTGGCCCCGTAACTACAAGGGCTGAACAGGGCGCGGAGCGCGCGTCGGCCGGCGCCCCGCGGGCACCTCGGGGCCCGGCGCGGGAGGACGCGGGCAGCGGCTCCGCGGCGGGGCCCCCGGCCGACCGCAGAGACCTCCGCCCCCGGCCGTCCCGGGGAGGGCGGCCCGCTCCCCGCCCGGCCGCGCCGCTTCCGCAGCCCGGACGCTCGCGCCGCGCGGCCGTTACCGATTCCGCTGCTCCTTGAACAGCGCCGTCAGCGCGCGGAGGGCCTCCAGGTCCTGGATGGGCGCGGGCACCATGATGCCAGACAGCCGGGCGGGCGGCGGCCTGGGCGCCGCCATCTTGCCGATGCGGCGCCTGACGGCGGGAGCAGCCGCAGCAGCAGCAGCCCGAGCGGCGGCGGGAGGGGAAGCGCGGGGGAGGAGCGCCCGGCGCCTCGGGGCCCAGCCGGCGTCTCGCCGCCCGGCAGCCCGCAACCGCGCCGGAGAGCGCGAGGGTCGCGCGGGATCGCCCGGGGCCGCGGGGACTGTGCCGCCAGGGGAGGGGGCGCAGGCGGAAGTGCAGCCCGAGGGGAAGCGGCGCGAGCGGAAATGTGGCCGCAGGGGAGGGGGCGCGAGCAGAGAACTGCGTGAGGCGCGGGGAGGGGCTCTCGGAGGGTGGCGGGTCTGAGTGGGGAGCCTGGGTCCAAGGTTCACCCTGAGAGGAGGGGTACGGGGACATGTTCACCTGAGGAGGAAGGATACGGGGACAAGTTCACCTGAGAGAGAGGAGAGCAGGGGCAGGTTCACCTGAGGGGGGAGGGATACGGGGATAGGTTCACCTGAGAGGGAAGGGATTGTGGACAGGTTTGCCTGAGGGGAACGGGCACAGCGACAGGTTCACCTGAGAAGGGGGCGGGGGGGGGGTACGGGGACAGGTTCACCTGAGAGGAAAGGATACGGGGACAGGTTCGCCTGAGGAGGAGGGGTACAGGGACAGGTTTGCCTGAGGGGAAAGGATAGAGGAACAGGTTCACCTGAGGAGGAGGAGGGGTACAGGGACATTTCCTGAGGAGGAGGGATACGGGGACTGGTTCACCTGAGGAGGGGCTGGGTTCCGGGGACAGGTTCACCTGAGGGGAAAGGATACGGGGACAGGTTCACCTGAGGAAGAGGGGTACAGGGACAGGTTCGCCTGAGGAGGAGGAGGGGTACAGGGACAGGTTTGCCTGAGGGGAAAGGATAGAGGAACAGGTTTACCTGAGGAGGGGCTGGGTTCTGGGACAGGTTCACCTGAGGGGAAAGGGTACAGGACAGGTTCGCCTGAGGAGGAGGGGTACAGGGACAGGTTCACCTGAGGGGAAAGGGTACAGGACAGGTTCACCTGAGGAGGAGGGGTACAGGGACAGGTTCACCTGAGGGGAAAGGGTACAGGACAGGTTCGCCTGAGGAGGAGGGGTACAGGGACAGGTTTGCCTGAGGGGAAAGGATAGAGGAACAGGTTCACCTGAGGAGGGATACAGGGACTGGTTCCACCTGAGGAGGGGCTGGGTTCTGGGACAGGTTCGCCTGAAGGGGGAAAGGTTGAGGAGTAGTCCGGGGAAGGGGAGGGAGGCTGTGCAGAGGCGCCCTCTGAGGAGAAGCCTGAAGACCAGGTTGCTGCCGTTGAAGCGATCAGTGCCAGAACTGTGACCCCCTGGAAACCAGAACAGTGTGTCACCAGCTTGCAAGTCTCAGACCCTGAAAGCTCAGTTGCCAAGATGTAGTGATTATTACCAGGCACTATACACAGGATGAGAATAGCTTGCTCCAGCTCATCAGGGGCTTAAAAGACAATCAGAAGTCACAGGGCTACATTCTAAAGCAGCAGGGTACAAACTGGATTTTTACCTAAGGAAACTGAGCATTTTTTTTCAGGAATCAGATGAGGTTCCCCGGAGGGTGTCAGTTACTCGCCCATTTTCTTTCCTTGGCCTTGGTCATACCATGTGCGCTTTTGACAGGTGTTGCCAAGCACTGTGCGAGGAGAGGTGAGCCGAGCCCTGGAGAGACTCACAGGCTGTGGACAGGCCCACAGAGCTGAGTCCGGCTAAGGGCTGTGGTAGAGGACTGTACAAATGTCTGTGGGGCCACTTAAAATGCATGAATACACACCCTCGCCAATCTGATTTGAAGAGTAGGAGCGTGTTTATAATGTGCTTTTGATGTTCTTTCCTAAGTAAAACTTGGATACAATAATGAGCACCACTAGAGTATGCAGAAGAAATGAATTCTGCACAAGCAAGTTACCTAGTATTGTAATTAGCCTTATCCTTTTAACTGACTACATAGTCATTCATTCCACAAATATTTCTGTGTGCCTACTATGTGCCAAGCATTAGATCACCTAACAGTGCTCAAGATAATTCAAATGCTTAAAAATCCTTACACAAGCTAACAATCCTTAGAAAATGTTCCCCGTAATATTCAAATTTATTGCCTGGACTGTTGCAATATGATCCTGATTGGTTCCTTTGCTGCTTCTCTTGCCTCCCTATATTCTAGAGCCTTTAAAAATGCAAGTCAAATATTTGCAGGGTTTGCTTCCTTCAACTTACCTACTCAAATGATCTAATGAGTTTCCCTTATCAATATTCTTTAAAGATTTTATTTATTTCAGAGAGAGGGGAAGGGAAAACATCAATCAGTAGAAATATCAATTTGTTGCCCCTCACACACCCCCAGTCAGGAAACTGGCCTGCATCCCTGGCATGTGCCCTGACAGGGAATAGGACGGTCAGCCTTTCAGTTCGCAGGCCAGCACTCAATCCACTGAGCACACCAGCCAGGGCTTCCTAATCGATCTCTAAAATTGTAACACACCACCCAAATACCTGAGCCTCAGGAATTTTTCCCCATAGCACTTAACACTTTCTATATAGTTGAGTTCTAATGTGTTTATTGTTACTTATTTTGTTTACTGCCAGAATGTATTGTAGCACCTAGAAAAGGACTTACTATAAGGTAATTGTTCAATATATATTAATTGAATTAATAAACTTTTTAAAAGATATTTTAGGACCATGACTTTGCGTTTCTCCTTCCAGGAGGCACCGAGCCATGGGTATCTCTCAGGGCAATTGGCACAAGTGCCACAAGAGACAAGCTTGGAGACAAGAGAAAGCCCTATCACAGGAAGCAAAAGTATGAGCTGCGGCACCCTACTGCCACTACTAAGATTGGCTCCCACCGCATGCACACAGCCGTCATGCGAGGAGGCAGCAAAAAGTACCATGCCATGAGGCTGGACACGGGCAACTTCACCTGAGGCTACAAGGGTTGTACATGCAAAGCAAGAATTAGTGATGCTGTCTATAATGCATCCAAAAATGAACTGGTTCACACCAACACCCTACTAAAGGAATATGCCGTGCTTATTAACAGCGCTCTGCACAGACGGTGGAAAAAGTCCCACTATGCACTGCCTCTGGGCTGCAACATGGAGGCCATGCTGACTACTGAGGACGAAGAGATTCTAAACAAACAAAAAAAAAATTCAAAGAAAATTCAGAAGAAATATGATGAAAAAGAATGCCAAAATCAGCAGTCTTCTAAAGGAGCAGTTCCAGCAGGACAAGCTTCTTGCATGCGTTGCTTCAACTCTGAGCCAGTGTGGCCAAGCATAAGGCCATGTGCTAGAGGGCAAGGCGCTAGCATTCTATCTGAGGGAAATCAAGACCTGGAGGGGTGAATAAATTCTCCTCCCTCCTATCTCAGCTCATGTAATAAAGGTATCTACTTTCTGTGGAAAAAAGAAAACATGCTTTCAGAAAAATGAAAGGAAATAACATGCTTCCAGAAAAAGAAGTAAAACAATTAAAAAAAGTACAGGAAAGAGGAAGGATGGGAGAGAGGAAGAAAAATAAATAAAAGGAAGATTAAAAGAGAGACATTAATAAACAGGCTAGAAATATGAGCAAGTAGGAGAAACAAAAGAATATTAAATTGGTCAAACAGTGGGTGTTATTGACCGCCTAGAACCGACTGAAGAATTTTCAACCTTGACTGAATTGACAGAACTAAGTTAATACTTCACTTGGGCTAAAAGGCATCTTGTAACATTACATAATGTTATGTAATTGTTTATCTTAGATCAATGATTTTTCAATTGCAAGAATTTTTAAAATATGCAATATCTGACTACTTAGTCAAGGGTACTAACCTCTTTTTCCTTAGATTTTCAAATAAAAAATTAACAACAACCAACACAACAATAGCTGTCTGGTGTGAATGAATCAAAACTATACCTATTTTTGTCAGGTAGGCAAAAAAAAAATGTTTTTTGGTGTGCCACAGAGTTTTAGTAATTAGTTTATGAATGACATAAGATGAAAAAGGTTGAAAATTACTGCTTTAGATAACTGTGCCACCATGTTCATGTACCTGAATTAAACTTCAGATGAAAATTGAGATATGAATTTGTGTCTTGAGCCTGCTGCCAAAAAACTGGATCAGCAATGATTCAGTAGTCAAGAAGTAAAAATAAAGAGAAAAAAAGGAAGGGAAAAAAATGCAAAGCAAGGAAGAAAGTAGGTGAGGTTCAGGAAAAAAGGTTTGGACCAAAGTGCATATGGTTTTGGCACAGAAAAGAGAGAGGAAGTAGATACTGGTAAAGAAAATCGAAGATGAGTGACAGGTGCAAAGAAAAATTCTTGCTTGTGCCAACTCCACTTATCTCTCTTCTTATTATCTCTTCCTATGATTTTTTCACTAGAAAGCTTATATCATTGCCACTTACTCCATTCAGACACCATGTGCGAATCAAGAAAGCCTCTCTCAGCCCTGATTTTACATAGACATCCTTGTACTATAATTGTGCTTATGTACCATCTTCCTGTATCTGAGGTCCCTCGAGGCAGAGATTTTGTCTTCGTCATTCCATCTAGGACCAAGCTCAGTGCCTTGTACTTAAAGGCAAAGTTATAAATATGTGTTGAACTGAAAATTTTAGAGACTGAAGGAAAAAAAATAGCAGAATAGTATAATTGTAAGAGCAGGGACCAGCAAAGTCACAGACTACAGGCTGTGAGCCAAGTCTTTCCCACTATCTATTTTTATAAATTGTATTGAAAACTGTCACAGTCATTTATTTACATACTGATTATGACTTATTTGATGCTACAATGGCAGAGTTGATTAATTGTGACTGAGGTTGTATAGCCCTCAAAACATTTGTAGGTTTTTGTATAGAGACTGTATAGCCTACAAAATCTGAATAGCCCAGTAAAACCTGTATTAACTATTTGGTCCTTTATAGAAAAGGTTTGCCAATCTCTGGTAAAGAGATGAGCTCTGGAATCAGATAAATCCGGGTAATGTGAACCCTGTTCTCATCTCTTAGCACCTGACCTTGCACAAGCAACAACAT